TAGGACTATAAAAGATAAAATACAACTCAAATCTTCGTACCGAAAACATTTTTTTCTTTGATTCCAAAGGCAAGAATTAACATATTAAAAAATGGCGAATTTCTAGAAGTATGCTTAATTAAAAAGTCTGGTAGTGGAAGTACCGCATCAAAACTCCATCAGTTGAAATGCCTAATCGCTAGTCTTTAATTATAGCCTTAACTAAAAAGTTTTAGGCCAATGCTAGCCAGAAAAAGATACGCATGCGCAATGGAGAGAAACTATGACTTGCAATCACGGCGATGATTTTGATGGTACTGCGCATGCCACAGAACAACCACAGAACCCTAACACCAACCCTAATTCTATCAATAACCCTATCCCTCATCCAATCCTTAACCCTAACCATAGGTCAATGCGCATGCGCAGAGCTATCTTTTGCCGACTAAGTGGAGACGTTGGGGAGAAAAATCTTCCAAGTAGTCACTTTGAAAGTTTTAATAGGGTGTGGGGAAATTGCGAGACGCGAAAAGCGAAATGGCGAGGCGGGAAAATGCGAGAAGGGCGCGAAAACGGTCTGTCACGTGACTTTTTGTCTCGCATTTTACCACAACCCGATACTTACGCTGGGTGGTGTTGAAATGCGAAGATTTCTGCGAAAAATTTACCGCACCCGATTTTCAGTGGTAATTGGTCCAGATTTCAAAGACGTTTCGTTTACATTGTTAAAACTTCCGATTTTTCCGTCGCTAGACATACTGATGACTTGTCAACTCCCCCCATCTTTTGTGTCGACTTAGAATACCACCTTGTTCGAAACCGACGGAAATACCGCCGACGATAGATCAACTTCTGTCTTTTGTGTGGAACGCCGAGGCCGCCTGATTTACCGTCTTTGAAGATCACAGTGCCCGAATCCGCTGCCGCTGCAAACATATTTTGTATTGTTGCATAGAACTTGACAGAAGGAAAAAAAAATTGACCCGTGACCTTCATTAAAACAGAATTTGCTTTTGTCTTTTTTTTTATTTTTTAGTAAACATGTGCTTAATCTTACCCAATAAGTGATAAAAATTTGAAAATTAATCTTAATTACTGTTGTAAAGTGAGATAAACAGCTTAATAAACACGTGTTTTCTTGAGGGGGTGTGGCACATCGCAATTATAACTTAATGTTTCTGTGTTTTATGACTATATTAGTATATTTGTACACAATCAGGATGCTATGCTTTTAAAATTGATAAATGGTAAGTATACCAAGTTACAAAACCTGCAATCTAACTAGTAATTCATACTTTCAGTTTAAAAAATAATAAAAACGATCATCAATGAAGAAAACGTAAACATTCTATTTTTAGGTGTGACATAAAAAAACAGTCATAAATCTAGCCAAATGATTGGATTCTTGCGCAGCACACATTTTCCCGCGCCTCGTTTTCACTAAACAAGATTATAATAAAATGGCATTATTGGGGGTGATCGTCTACCCACGCACATATCTCATTAACACAATAAATTATTACCAGTTAATTGTAATGTGTGTAAAATTAATACTTTAGAGTTTTCATCTGACATAAGCTGGTTTGCGCAGTGAAGCGATATGTAAGAGTTATTTGATATAAAAGACAAGAATTTATAGAGCTATTTTCACTAACGCGTCGCTTGCGAGACAAACAAAGAAATTAGGTCAGAAGTACATCTGGGAATTCTTAAATAACAGACTGAAATAGAAACGGATAGTTCCGATGTCTAAAATTAACGATGGCCTCGTAATTATTAGTTTTATCCCTCCACCGTTTAGTGAAAGCGAAAATGATCGCCATTTTTAGTAAGCGCATGAGCCGTGAGATGCCACGAAAATGACAAACCCGGAAGCGTTGAACCGAAAAGCCTACCCTGTCCCTAACCTAGTCCTACCATAACCATATGCCTAACCCTAATTTCAAGTAATTTCTAACCATAAAATTGGTCGAGATTACAATACTACTAGTTAATCTCCTTACTAAAACCGGAAGTCAGAGCCTGACCCTGAAACGTCATGCTCTTTTGGTTTTCGCATTTTAAGTGTTTTGGGGGGGGGGGGGGGGGGGGTCCTATATACAAAAATGAAAAAACTGCTAATCTAGCAATATCTCATCATTATTTTAATGCGAAATGCTAAGGAAATGGATACTATGGCTTAAATGCCAGAAAAATTTGCAAGATATGTAGTTATAATTAATACAAGCATTGCTTGTTGAGCACTCTCAGGAGAAACTGAACTTCAACGAAAAACGACCGACCACCGGGCAATAGCGCTCGACAGATCCTAGATAAATATATATTTGAGATATTTACCATGATTAATTACATTGATGATGTTTCCCCTTTCCAAAATCCAATTCACCATAGAAATACCATGCCTTTGCTATTTTTAGTAACGTTACGTCATTGTTACGCTAGTTGTCAGATAGAAAAAACTAATTTTTGTTTTTTGCGGAATGCACTGTTAAGTCTAGTATTTTAATTATAATTCAGTTGTAGCGTGTGTAGAAATTGTGGACATTATTACTGTATTAAAGTATTAGTAATTTTATAAGTATATTGATTTTTTTTCTTCACTGGAAGCCAAGTAGGCCGACTGCACTGTTAGTTTTATTGAACATAATTCGTGACCGGTCGTTAACCTTGTAAATACTAGATCTAAATACTTCGTGGCCTACCCGACTGCATAATTTATATGAAATTATATGTAGTTTTTAATTAGGCCTTAGTATTGTATTTTAAACAATGCTCATTCCGAGCCTTTTTTGTGCTAAATCTAATTAGGCCTACTGGCAATTTTTTTTATTTTTAGACTTGGTAACCTCGTTAATGCTCTTGTGTTAGTTAAACATATAGGAATTGTGTGTAAAATTTACGCAGTTACTCAGTTACTACGTAGTACGATATCAATAAATAAAGTATTATTTATTTCCTTTTAGCAATCTTTTGATACAAAATGTCTAATATTTTATTTTCCAATATATCGTGGTGTGTGGCAGAGTAAACAGAACGGTGCGGTAGGTGACCTAGAATCTCCGAGTTCGAATCCGAAGTAAATCAGTTGTGCTTTATTTTATTGTTTCACATAGGAAATGCCACGAGCGGCTTTATTTTCTTTCTTTTTAAAAAATATTTTTTTGATCGAAATAATATTTTATAAAATAATTATTCAAGATTTTCCAAACATCGTCGCTCGCATCGCTCGCGAGATCGACTGCTTACATTTTCTTGTCTGCGGGAGAAAAATGTTGACATGGTCGAGTGTTCACCGTGAGTTCAGCAGGCCTACCATACATACGTCACAGCATTAACGATTGCTGTTAGAGATCGTCGGTGGGCAATCCCACCCCTCCCATCATAAACCAAGCAAATTGTAAAACAACTTAGGGTCATTTTAAGTTCATGCAAGCTTAAAGGACTATAGACTAATAGATTTACTACACATAGCTGGTTAAAAAAAAAAAAAAAAAACTTCGCCTAACCTAATGCTACTACAGAAGAGAAAAATAATTATAGAGTATTTATTTAAAGTTTTAAAAAAAGTTGATTTATCATCTTACCTAATACTGTATTGTCTTTACAGTTAGAATGCCTAGATCTAGATTTCTGTCAGATCTATTTTTAGTTTTGGATATTAATTTTATTATCATCTTCATGGGTATTGATTGTTCAATTCATCATGGAAGGCCTAATGTCTTAAATTGTACATTATACATAGAATTTATAATAAATATGTCTGATATTTCTTTAATAAACATAATGAATATAAAGTTTTATTTCCAACAAAATGTTTTGGTTTTTTTTGGTAACTAAAATACCCAATGTTGTCGTAATTGCTATGACATCATGATACGAACTGAAAACACAAACCAACGTAACTTTTTGAGCTTTGTTGAAGGCGAAAAAGAGTTTCGCATTTTAAGAAGTTAATTGGTCATTTTGTTTTTGTTTGTTTTCTTGGCCCCCTAATTAAGCTAGACCATTAAATTTGGTCTCAAATTAACCAGTAAGTGATATAGTTTGTAATGATATATCATAAGTGACAGACAATTGTAATTAAAGAATTTAAAAAGAAAACCTAATACTACTAAACTAACAACCCAACACACCTATTGCAGTATTAAGCCTACTATTTACTAGATTCTAGAAATTCTATTTACTATTTAGGCCTACTATTTAGAATTATTCTAGATCTAGATGTCTATTTATTTTTAATGGAAGAGTCTAATATTATCGGACTCTGTATCTAGATTCTAAATCTAATCTAGATCTAACTAGACCTAATGCCTAATAATAATTAATATGGTAATCCCTTAGTTTAGCGTCGGTTATTATTCCGGAATCGTATAGCAATAAAAAACAGTAAAACAATGCCAAAGTCTGTCACACACTTCCGGAATTCACCGGAAGTACTGTAAACCATACTTTATTTGGTGTCATCTTTTATTTTTTTAGGGCCTACAGAATGTTTAAAATTTAGATAGATTTATTTTCGTAATCATTTTTACATTTTGTAATCATTTTTACTATTTTCGTAATCTAGATTTTTTTACTTGGCCTAGCAGCTAGATATCTAGATTCTAGATCTAATTAATTAATGGTACCAAATCCGCTGCAAGCAAAAAACATTAAATTATCAGCCTACATTTGACTTCATTATTTATATTTATATTAATATATGTTTTTTTTTTTTTTTTAGATATAGGCCTACTAATTTAAATCTACTATTATATTTATTCTTGTTTCCTTTTGTCGATTAAACTTAAAAAATTAAAACATTAATTTACTACAATCGACTTTCAATTTATTTATATTTCAATGGTCAAATAAAACATGGTTTACCGTAACTCTAGTTACCGAGACTCAACAAACATTACCCGATAATTTCCGACGCTAAACTAAGGGATTACCATATCTACTCTTGCTAGGTTATCTAAAAAAATTATCAGAATCGAGATTTAGAAACTAGTGATTAAAAAAAAAAGAAAATAACTTGCGCATCAAGCCGTATTTTTTTCAGTGCTACGTGTTTGCCTGATGCTTTTTCGCGAGCTTTGTAAACAACTCCGTAGGTTCCTTCGCCGATTTTTTCAATTTTCTGAAAGTTCTCCATTGAACTTTCATCCATTGCCACACCCATTGAACATCCAGCACAAGTGGGCCAGATAGATGTAGAATCTACTTAGTGACAGTACAAAAATTAATAAGGAATTTCGAAACTAATAATCTAGAATAATGATTTCTTCTACACATAGATCTAGATTCTAGATCTAGTCTATCTAGATTCTAGATCTAGCTTGGGCCTAACTGCATTGAAAACATACAATAAGGTCCTGACGACACCGAAACTTCCCGCGATGACAGAACCGGGCTAAATGCTGTAGAATTAAATAACTAGTCGTAAAGATGCCTAGTAATTTAGATCTAGCCTAATTACTAATTTATCTAGATCTAGGTCTATTCTAGCTCACAGTCTATCTCAAAGTTTTTTCGGACTACTGCTCCGGGGTCGTCCATAAATGTCGTCACACTCGTAGGGGGGGAGGGAGAGGTCCGTAATTTTGTGACGGTGTGTGATGAGGGGGAGGGGTTCAGATGGTGCGACGTCACACTTTTGCATTATAAAAAAGAAATGTTAGAAAACGAATTTTAGACGTTATTTCGCGTTTTAGAAAACTGTTTTTAAAAAAATTGAAATAGGAATTGATTAAAATAATCTATTTTGATAGAGTTCAGACAAAATTTTAGAAAAATGTCGATGTTTAAAAAAAAATTCAACTGCAATTTAGAGGGGGGGGGGGTTGTAGGCTGAGGTGTGACGTGATTTTAGGGGGGGGGGGTCTTGCTTTTTGTGAAGACGTGTGACGGATGGGAGGGGGAGGTAAAAATCGTCAAAAAAGGGTGACGTCATTTATGGATGACCCATCCTTTAAAAGAAAACAAATCCCGAAGCCTCTTGTTGATGGTAGTGAAAAGTCAGTGATAGATCTAAATGGTACGGTCATGTAATAATACTACTAGATCTACTAGGGGCTAGCATTTATTTTGTAATTTGACTAAAGTCGGCAGATATTTAATTTCCAAAACTAACCTTAAAAATTGTCTCCTTAGGTCCCTATGTTCTTTTATTGTCCTTCAGGTTCTGGAGGGCGGCAAAAGTGCCATGATCTGCACTGCCGATTCCAGGTAATTTAGCGCCCAAGGCAAAACGTATTGACACGCACCCTTTCGAACCATTTTTTAAAATTTGTATAAGAAAACAATGTATTTAAAGTGACATAAATTTATTATCTATTACATAAACGTTACCAGCAGACTACAAAATCAAAATACATATTTTTCGTGCCTTCTCTTTTTCGTAGAGGTTTCTACTAATTCCTTCAATTTCCAGTGTCGAAGCATCATCACATTCAATTAAAATTGTTACACCGCGTTTACACATACGACATGTATACTATACATTTCCAGAACACAAAGCCCGCCAAAAGTTATTTTTATCTGGAACAATTTTCTCCACAGAACATGTACACTTTAGCGTTCACACTTACAGAACATGTTATAGAACATTTTATAAAACAAGCATGACCTTTGACACAGAGCGTCTGCTATATATGGTTCCCAGAAAGAAGCGCAAAGGAAAAAAGCGCAACGGAAAAAAGCGCAAAACAAAGAGCGCAACGGAAAAAAGCGCAAACGGAAAAAAGCGCAAACAGAAAAAAGTGCAAACGGAAAAAATGGCAAACAGAAAAAAGCGCAAACAGAAAAATGCGCAACCAGAAAAAAAACAGAACGAAAAATGTGCAAAAGAGAAATTAAGCACAAAGACCTATATCGTCTAGATGACACATTGATACATGACTGTTAGGGCTGCTGTGAGAGTGTCGTGTTTGATCACGTGATCTACTACCATTTAAAGCGTACCACTACCATCTGCATTCTCATCACCGCGATACAGGCGATAATCGCTTTACACAATGCCTATTATTTTCTTGGTCAATAATTATTCAACTACTATTCTCATATAAATAAACATAAAACTATCCTTGATATCGACATTACACGAAGTATCTCTCACATTCTCCCTAGTCCGAACTACCTACCTTGCATACCATAACAACCCGTTTCTATGGCAAAACTTCACTCTCTTTCATCCGCGTCATCAAACATGCATTCGTCATATCTCTCGCAACAACATTCATTCGCACCAAAATAACAATTATGTATTTACTATTATTTCATAATGACGCACTTACCTACCTACCTACTACCTACCTACCTTGCTACCCACCTACACACTTACCCTCCTACAAACCTACCTACCCACCTACCCACCTACCCACTTACCCACCTACCCACTTACCCACCTACCCACTTACCCACCTACCCGCCTACCCACTTGCCCACCTACCCACCAAAAAAGTATCGGCGAAGTTCGTTAGTTTCGTAAACTGTACTAGACATCTTTGTTTTAATGAAAATTCAGTGACATCATTGACATATGTTACATATATGTTACATTTTGCGACAATCTTAATTAGTGCGTTGGGCTTGTATGAAAACTCACTTCGAACTAACTCAATTACATGCTATTTATTTTAACATTACACGGTTAGCGTCACCCAACTGTTGTGATGTGAGGTGAGGACAGGTTCGACAATAAACCAACACGAAAGTACAAAAGAGACATAGACTGCCTGTTAGAGAAAGGACCCCCTAATTTTCCTAACCCCACCATTTATTATACACTACCTAACCTCTAAATTTCCTGCGCTAAATGTCACTTCCCTCCCAATCGTTCCTATTCTACAGAATTGTGTGTACTATATATTTACATTCTTTAATCTATAATATAATCTATAATATAAGCGGGCTGTGCTTGTCCTTCCTTCCTTCCGTCCGTCCGTCCGTCCGTCATCGCTATAGATTTTGGAACCATAAAAGTAAGCATCGCACCATGCTGTGCTTTTCAGTGCACCGAAGTGTCTTACTATAAGTAATAGAGTAGGGTTCGTTTATATAACGGCATAGAGCTATTTTATAAATGCCACTGTGTTTACTTTTTTGCATAACGTTATGAAAATATTGAATATTCGCACATTGCTAAAACATATTAAAAAAATCAATGTCAAATATCATTTTAGTTTATATTCCTAGAAAAAATGGATACATTTCCATAAAAGTAGGTCGAAAAAACTAATTAATTCAACTTTTTTTTTGTGGTAATTTTTTCAAGGGAGGTAATTTAAAAATATATTTAACTCAACAATAATTTAAGTTAATCTTTTTTTTATTACTACCGCATTGATTAGTCTATGTTAAGGTTCATAATTAAAAGAGAAAAATGTTAAGATTATTTATATTATTTTCTAATTAGTCTATGATTTCTCAAAATCACTATTTTTTGTTTTTGTTTTTTGGTGTTAACAGATGGTGAAATTTTATAATTATAGTATAGAGAATGCTGAAAAGACTCTCTCTAGGCGCGGACGCCTGGGAAAAGCGTGTTTTTCGGTGGTTATTCTAATTACATTGCCAATGTGTTTTCTTAGAAGCATAAAAGTAAACACCACTTGCCGTACATTCATTTGCATCGCATTGTTTTATTGTAAGTTATGGAGTAGGATCTATTTATGTGACTTAAATTTTTAATGTTGGAAAGGCTCTCTTTGGGCGCGGACGCCTAAAAAAGCGTGTTGTTTGGTGGTGATTCTAATGTTGTGGTTGTGTTGTTTTTTTTTTTTGGTTGTGTTGTGGTTGTGTTGTGGTTGTTTTTTGGTTGTGTTGTGGTTGTTTTTTGGTTGTGTTGTGGTTGTGTTGTGGTTGTGTTGTGGTTGATTTTTGGTTGTGTTGTGGTTGTGTTGTGGCTGTGTTGTGGTTGTGTTTTTGTTGTGGTTGTGTTTTTGTTGTGGTTGTGTTGTAGTTGTGTTTGTGGTTGTGTTTGTGGTTGTGTTGTGGTTGTGTTGTGGTTGTGTTGTGGTTGTGTTGTGGTTGTGTTGTGGTTGTGTTGTGGTTGTGTTGTGGTTGTGGTTGTGTTGTGGCTGTGTTGTGGTTGTGTTATGGCTGTGTTGTGGTTGTGTTGTGGTTGTGTTGTGGTTGTGTTGTGGTTGTGTTGTGGTTGTGTTGTGGTTGTGTTGTGTTTGTGGTTGTGTTTTTTGTGTTTGTGTTGTTTTTGTTTGTTTTGTTCTGTTCCAAAGTTGGTACATTTAAAAAAGATTTACCGTGGCGGAGTACGGGATGCAGCTAGTCTATAATATAAGCGGGCAAGTAGTGTGTCAGTCCTTCCTTCCGTCATCGCTATAGCTTTTGGAACCATAAAAGTAAACATTCGCACCATGCTGTGCTTTTCAGTGCACCGCAGTGTCTTATTATAAGTGTTAGAGTAGGGTTTGTTTATATAGCGGCATAGAGCTATTTTATAATTGCCACGGTTTTTACTCTTTCGCATAACGTCAAGAAAATATTAAATACACGCAAACTGCTAAAACGTATTAAAAAGATTAATGTCAAATATCATTTTCGTTTAGGTTCCCAGAAAAAGTTGATACATTTTAATAAGATAATAACAGTACGGTAGAAAAATCAAATTAATTTAACTCTTTTCTAATTTTGACAAAGGAGGTAATTTAAAAATACATTAAACTCACGCTAATAAAAAATGTGAATGCAAATATACGTTCGTCATAGAAGGAATTAGTGTTGCAATAATATAATTAGCAAAATGTGAATGCAAATTATTCGGATGTGTAAGAGGAAATTATTGTTAGAAAATTATAATTAGCATGGATTGATAAAAGGCAATCTTTTATTTATTTTATTCACTGAATGTAGGCCCTACTGTTTATTACTTATAATTTTTAATCAACTATTCAGCACTATTATAGACGCGTCATCACGTTCATTAGGTGCGCAATGGTTTTAGTTATGAAACTCTTTTGTAAATTTTTAAAATTTAAAGTACTGGAAAAAAAATGCGTGAATGGATAAAGTGAAATAGTGTAGGTAAAACACGGTATTTTAAATACTGCCTATTATTTATACTGTTTTCTAATTATTATTCTATCTTTCGGGTTTTATAGGAGAGGCGTAGCGAGGGTTATCGGAAATCGCTCAAAAGTTGATCAGGATCTACGATTTTGATAAAATACTTATATATGAAATTTCATCACACAGACATACGGACAAGATTGCAAAATTATGTTTTTCCGTATCAGTGAGGTGTGAAACGTCGAGATTTGTAAAAATCTCGATTTTTTTTTTTGCACGATTACAAGACTTTCTCTATACTTCGTATATACGAGAAAGTAAAAAGGGGTGTGGTTTTGTGCTCTGCTACTCAGAATATGTTCCATATACT